GAAGCCGTGCGTGCCTTTAACGCAAGAGATTAGGTTCACTTTAAATTGGCAGCGCGATTTCGGTATATGCGTTCGAATTATTCACGTTTAAGGTACGATAAATATGTATTATACAATGCAGCGGTCTTATGCATTGGAGAAGACATGGAAGACCTAGCTAAACACAACGCTCTATCAGTACAATCTTCACTACATCTATACAGAATCGAACAAATTTATTAGCGAATTATTGAGTAGTGATGGGACCTATTTTAATGTAGCAATGATATCCCCACACCGATATGTTATAAACACGTCCTGTATTCGCCATGAGCAATAAGTATTAATTACCCAAAAAGTAGAGAATGTTTAAAGCTGGCCAAATACCTTTCAAACGAAAATCGTTAACAGTAGGATTGCGGGATGGATGGAGGCAAATGACAGAGTCAGCTCTTGATTAGACGCATAGCTATATAGACAAAAGCTTCTCACTGGGCAAAAAACGAATGATGCAAAAAATATATATTTCTTGGTCGTTTTTAGAAATACATGCATATTACTGCTTATAGCTGGGCATTGACTTTTAGCATATACAACTCTGGGTTAACATAAAGTTTTGGCATAATATTGTTGTTTTGTAGTTATGCTGCTCTCTAGATATCTTCTTAGCAATGCTATGTACAGTCAGTTCAAACTACCTAACAGATTGGGCTGATACAGCACCATCCCGTTGTAGGTAATAGCACGTGACAAACGGAAGCAGAACAACAGGCGAAACAATATGGCGCTGCATTGATTTATGAATACTACAGTTCTTCAACTGACACTACCGTGCTGCTCTGCGCGTCATAAACGAACAACAGATGCACAAAGGGTGGAATTTGTAGCTTTACCGACGCTCCCTTTCCTATCGGCCTGCCTTCTGTCGTCGCGAAAGCCGTTTTCCGCTTCACATCCGGCCAGTGCGATCGTGTGCAGAAAGGACAAACAATACCACCGTGCCATCGAATTGCTTTATGGGACGGCGGGGTTTGGCTGACGAAGTCGGCCTGCCGCTCGCTTCTAGAGGTAACAATGTCACCTGAAGCGGCAGCAGCTGCTCTGGCGGCCGTGGAAACAGCAGCAAATCGTGGCGTTAGTTCGCAGCTTTTTCAGTAGTTCCCTTGTTTCCCGCGCCATAAAAAGTTACCCCCATACGTCGACACTCCTGCAGAGAGGCAGCAATAGCAGACGACGAAGTGTCGTCAAACTTCGAATTACAGTCAGCACGACCCCACAAGTACTCTGTTACTTTGCGAAGGGGACCTTCCTGTCGTCGGCAGAATCCGCTTCTTTTCTTTCGGGACAAACGAATGTATCGTCATAACGGTGATCCGATGCCACGATTGGCAGGCAGCAAAATTTCTGCAGGTTCAAAAAAGAGGTTTAACTGGGGTGGTATTGCTACTATCTTTCTTTGCCTGATGTGGCACCTTCACAGCCGAATGCGGTCGCCGGCCACAGATAAGTGGCACACCAATGCTATTGCTGTGAAACAACCATCTATCTATAGGGGAAATCTCCACTGGCATGGCAAAAGCCGGTGGTTTTGAACTGTTAGTATTTAGTGGTCGCGTGGCACTATTGTCCCATTTGGAGTCTACAAATACATTGAATTTATTTTTCGCGTGATTGCCTCGATTGTTGTTGTTGTTTTTTGCTAGTATTGATGCAAATACATAAGAATTGGTTTATAGCACTAAATAGAAATTTAGTCGATGCGTCGAAAGCTGTCTATCACGGAGGTATAGACTTCAGTAAATAAGATTGCGCAGTAAATAAGATATTTATAATTTCTATTAGGTCCCTGACTTAAAATTTCTATTTTTTTTTTCAGCCAGTGAATAACAAACAATGCAGCGGAGTATTAAAATTGCAACTATACATTAATAGAGTCAACTGCTGAATAATGAAGTTTATCCCTAACAATTAATACGCTTTGATAAAAGGCACTGAGCATCCGTAACACGATCAACTTATGAAAACCACTTCTCTACTGGGTCTATAATATATTAAGGATTAAAGAGATACTGATCATTTGAAGTTGTTCTTGAAATTGAGATCAATTTCATATAATTTCGATAACCTAGACAAACTTTGCATAGGTTTTTCAACACATGTTGGCCTCCTCGTCCTCGTATCACCAATGTCTAATAGCTCAAGCATGCGTCATAAATCGCTTTCTGTACATATTATGCACTGCAGTCGGCACATATACCCTATTCTCACTCGGTTATTATCGGCGTACTACCCTACGGTTGGGCAGAGATAACTAGGGTAAATGGTCGTGTGACACCCGTATAAAAATCTTATCATTCTATCAGATTTATTATTTAGCTGCACAGCAGCGTGCAAAGGCTTAACTCAGAAGTGCCCCTAATCACCTTCTACCGTCTGCCCTTCTACAGAAAAACAATCCAAAAACAGTATATCCCTTTCAGTAGCTACCTGTTGTCTGCTGGAGAGACAAGCTAGTCAGTTTAACATGCATTGCACACAAGATGAACGAATTATCCAACTAGGCGGATTTAGGTCTATTCGCTTGACAATATGTCGAATAATGCTTTTTAGAATGTATATGGACCTGTATCTAAATGCCAGCTGTGAGCGTCCGTGGACGGCTCATGAGCCGGAACATATCAGCCTCACCCATGCTTAAATGGCCCATCCCATAGGCCCAACAAGATTCTCTTTCACATATTAATACCGCCTTCTTGTGATCGTTTTTAATAAATTCGTCCATCCACGTTCGTTTCGTGTTCATTCTATCACATTTCCTCTCGTCATATCTGTATCTCTTTCACTCCCGTCCTCGTATTCTCTTCGCCGTATTCTATTGTTGACTGGCAAAAGGGGCATCGAAGCGGAGGTCCAATCGTTCTCATGTTCGGGCAGTCTCTCGCGTATCCTCTATTCCGCATCTGAGCCGTCACGCAAGACAGACAAGCTATATGATATGCGTGATAGATATAACAGACTCAAAACATATCCGATTCAATCAACTTCTTTTGCCGTTCAGAACTCGATCATCGAGCTTCTCATGCTGTTCGCCCATCTCAACGCCGTTCTAAGATGGCTAAACGAGAAAGTTCTGTTGTCCTGAGAAGCATCAGGCGAACGGAACTATGCAAGCCATTTTTGCCCCTCCCTCCCCCCAGGGGGGGGGGTGAGAAAGATCACGGATGGATGCCGAGAGCCAGGAGTCTGAAGGCTGACGGGAATAAGCGCACTGCAGCCTTCGCGTTAGAAGCACCACAAAAGAGATAAGTTTTGTAAGGCGTACACCTCACAAGACGCTGCGGCCACGGCGATGGGGATTGAAGACCGCCTGTCGTTGCTGTCACATCACACAGGTGATGGCGGCAGCTACTATGGTACGATAGTTCCAACAACAGTGGCAGACTCAAGGTGAGCAGGCGGCGGTAGCAGCGTCTTCAGTAACAATCTCTGGCGACGATCTGTCATGTCCATGTATCTTTTCGCATTTCGTTAGTTCCGCGCCAGAATGTTTTGCCCCAACCAGCAACCCTGGCCGGTCGATTCGCCTGCACGTAGTACGTGCGACAACGGAGGGAACGATGAGCACTGTTGGGAAAAGACGACGAGGAAAATGAAGACTCAAGGGCATATCTTAATGCCGCTGTTTCCATTACCTCCTGAGACAGTTATTGCCCGCTACAAGTCGCGTGATGAAGCTTTAGTTAGTGGCGGCAGCATTAGCTTGATACGCGTCGCCCAGGTGACATTTGAAGAAGTCAAGACTTACGGTGACTTGAGGTGACATCACCGCAAGAGAAGCCACCTAGGCGTGGCTGGACGTGAGGTGGCGTTATCATTGTTTTCATTGTATTCACCGATGCTTTGATTTCTCGTCATGTGTAATCAAGAAAATGTTGTTTGTACAACAACCGGTACCTCGACAGGTGTTTCAGTTATCCATCGACTAAAAGGATGTAAACGCAATAGAGCGGACGAAGTGACGTGGAACGAAACAGAGTATCGTGACTGGCGTCGTCTTTTAGCAATGGAAGTGAAGCTGCTGCTACTTTTCGTCAATCGTGCGATTGATGTCAATCGTGGCGATAATGATAAAGATGATTTATAATATCTAAAAAAGAACCTACCTAAAGAAGCAGCCAAGTGTGGGACAGGTAAAAAAGATAAGCATTAAAGGTAGTAGGCGTTCATCTTGTCATGGAAGTACAACAAAAAGGAAGGATTATGGGGTGGAGTAGAACTTAGGATGGAGAAAGAAGGTGTTTGAACCCAGCCAACTACCTCGTTACCAAACCATAGCTCTATACATGATTTCTATAAATGCTTGAGGAGAATGGTGTCTAGCTCTTTTGATATCCATTTAGCGGCGTAGGCCGTTGAAAGCAAGCATAAAAGAACACGCGATCCCAGTTGGAACGGTAACTAGTTATGGCTACAATTGTAAAAGCTATTCAGTTACTGGAAATCGTTAGTGAAATAGAATGATTCCCTGCTATACGATTACGAACAGTGTCGACCCTCTAGAAGGCCTTAAGGAGCCTGGCAAATATCTAAACTCAGGCCCTATTGTAAATACTGTACTAACGATTGCTAACATTTTATTATTTGGACTGCCAGCTTTTTTGTACGGCTTTTTTTTCTATAGATGTGAGGGTCCATCGCAAAAAAAGCGCCGTAATATATCTATATACTCACATGTTAGCAAAAACACAAATTTCATAAATCCCGTTAACTGACCATCTAACCGTTATGATGACTTGACGAATCGTACCTGATAAAATTGCCATTTCATACCGATACAGATGAAGCAGTGAGGTCACGTGACGGATTCGGCTAATGGCATTACTCTTCGATGTCTCAACAGAACAAGCCATATGGAAGAATAGATAGATATACGTATAAATGTAACTATAGCTGAGACAGGTGACAATAGCACCACTAGATTTTACTCTGATGTTTTGTTTGTGTTTCTAAATTTTGCGAAGTAAGCCCGAAATCGACGACTTGCATGGGTACGTGCGCGATCGAGCTGATGACTGCGCGTGTTTGTACTCGAACGAAGAACGTCAAGGTTGACTGGCAAAGCTGCGTATTTCAAACGACGTAAATTCTTCCGATCTGACGATACCGTGCGCCGCTGCGATGTTGACGTTGGTGTCACCGTTATTCGTTAGTGCGTCCTGGCGTTCTGTTGGCTACTGACATCGTCATATGAGGAACGATGAAATTTAGTTTGCGTTTGGGATCAGGCTGGAGGAGCTGGCGGATGGAAGGATTCGCACCCCGGAAATAATTAAAAAACCTAGTACGCTCAACGTCATCCGAATTCCCTAGCTCATCTCCATTTGCGCTTGCCTGTTCGTCTCGCCAACGACGAAAATCCAGTTATGCTCGTGTGTCGTTCTTCACGCTGGCGACGTAATTTATACATCGTCGAGAGAAAACGGTCCGCTAATAACAGTTCGTTCCGTAACGTTAATCTCGTCTAGAGCTGTATTCAATAATTTTTTAACAACTTTCGTTAATATCTACGTTCCTCGTATTACTCTGAGGCCATTCTATTGTAGGCACAAATTAACTTCTAACAAAAGCGAATGATAACACAACAAATCGGTGCGATTTAGTCAGGGGACAATTTGCTGATTGGAATAAAATAGCAAACGATGCAATGCGTAACCAGTGCTCCCGTTCGAAGTTTGTTTCAACATGTTACGGTACCTGTAGCAAACAATAGATTGTTAGAATTATTTTCCTAAAAAAGGCAAGACTAACCTAAATCTCAATGCATTTCTATTCTGCCTCTCGACTTGGCAGTAAGATAATACTGCTCCATTGCCTATTTCAGGCTGTGTTTACTCGGCGATCGCAGCGTGCGCAGACGACGTACAAGAAGAGGTTGCATCGACCAGATTTGTTGTAAATATTGATCAGCTCAACGCGTACTGTGATAAAATGACCTCCGCGCATCAGTGAGTACTATGCCAGCACCGTATGTGAATTAACATAAATAAAAAAAAATCCAAGATAATAAGTCAGCGTAGAAAAGGAAATTCGCCCGAACTGATATACGTTCATGTTCAAGCGTCTAAAATAAGTCTAGCGTCTACGCTATAACTAAAATACCCTCATAGACTTTGTTCGTTAAGCAAGCTGTTACTGTGTGCCTGGGCGACCCGTAACCTGTTTTTGCAAAGTAATGTGCGATTCTGAACCTTGGCCTCTGGTGTTGCTAGATGTACGTAATCACTATTATGGGGACGCTATTATAAAGACAAGATGGCCGTAGCCCGTACTGTGAAGTAACATAGAACAACTACAGACAGGCTGAATCATTGTATGTATTCAAATTTATTACGATTTGCTATGGTGCTTCTATGCAAACTTTGTTTTGATTCTTATGGTATATTTTACGTGCAAATCGTATGGATATGCTGACTAGCGTCCCTGATCTACGGCTGAGTACGGACGTCTTTTTTATTTATAAAAATACCCTTTTGTTTGTGTGCTTTCTACCAAAACACCGGAAGAAAAGCTTTAACCAATCATCACCTAGCCTCAACAGACTTTGAAGCAGCTCGATATTTGAATAATTAAATTACAATATCATAAAATTGCGTATGGACGATATCGTTAGAAGTGCGATAAGGTTAAAGTAGCGATTTCTGTTTCAATAGGCCTTAAACCTACTATAAGGTTAGAGTATTTGCTGGAATCGTAGCTATTCGGAATCGGGCAATAGTTAAACTTCGGGCCGTGCTTTCACCGTTTTCATCAACGAAGGCATACGAAAATGGGCACATATCTGTTCCAGGTTCAAGAGAGGACAAACAGTCTATCTAACAGACGATAAGCCAGTTCAGTCACGTAATCTTTACTTTTATAGTAAAACGCCGTTTAATAACATTTAATGTAACATTGTCGACCCGCGATCAGCGTAGCAGTATGACGATCAAACCTTAAAATATCTTAAAATAAATCAAAATAATATATCCATATAAATTAACAATAAAATAACATATCCATAGAACACTATAACAGAGCATGCGGCAGCATGGCGCACTTTCTTCTAATATTTGGGCAATTAAAAGAGTACTTTCCGCTTATAGCTTTACACGTGTAACCGTATTGCTTGGATGATTTTATTAGTTAGCATGTTTCGTCTAATTTCTTTTTCATATATTAATATAATAAATACAAATTCGAGCTTTATAAAGGCCCCCGTGATTCCAGCTGTATCTTATTCGAAAGTGAGACCTGTCCAACCGAATTAAGGACAGCGTATAATCACGCAGTGAAGGCAGAACAGGACCTCCTAAAGGACCTATGCAGACCTGGGCCCTTTCAAGAAGGTGAGTAAAGCGCGGATGCTTTTCCATTTTTTTTTTTGAGCCGTTTGTTTATCGTCGAGACGTGTTAGAAGCATTACTATTTAGAGAAAAAAAGTAAAGTATTTTTAAAATAAGGCAGGATTACCTAAAACGTTTAGGCGATTTCGATTATCTGGAGGAAACTGTACGGTTTTGAGCTTTTATACCTGTAAAAGTGCAAGCTCCAAGCGGACCAGATTTCGGAGAATAGATTGTAAAGATCATTGGCGTTCAGAGGTACTTAGTCATTCGCTTAGTTTTGATTAGAAGCATGGATTTCATAGAAGAAAGTTTATAATGGGTACAGAATCGACAAACAGTAGTGTCTTTACCATTGCAAACCGTTGCTAAATCTATTCGTAGAATATTACGTACATCGAACTTTAATCAACATACCTAATAACTTCAACTCCTTGAGTACTACAATTAAAAAGATCTAAAATTTATAACAGAAGAAAAACTGGGTTATTAAAGTTTCCGTCGGCCAAAAATGGCAGTCTGCGGAATACGAAATTCATAAATAAGTCTGAAACACTAAATGTAAAGCGACGCAATAAAAATGACTTCTTACGTTCGCTTGCTCCGAATCAGACATCAACATGATTGGTGTATTCAATATCAACTATTAGACAGGGGATGCGAATAGTTGTGTTGACGCAATGAGAGGAGCTCTAAATCAACTCTACGCTTTAAACCCTGTGACCTTGCAAAGACGAAACGGGCAGATTAGTGTCAGAAGAGGTTTCGGCCTGAAGTAATCATATGGACTTCCTTTGATATTCAAATTTTCTGAAAATTCCTGTGAATCATTAGTGTGAAAATGAGGATACGCTGTGGCAAGTTGAGATGTCACCGAAGTGCAGAAATTTAGCCCGGCATGAGGAGGTCACGATAATAGACGGCTACCTCAACTTTAATATATTGCACATTTCACCACATATAATTTCAATTCCATGCAGACGCTTTAGAGGACCGTCGTGTATCCGTGAACTTCACCGGTACCTCTGAAATTAGGAATTTAACTTCCATGACACCGACAACAAATTTTTTGATACTAGTCTTGTGCGAAACAACTGCGCGTATGTAAATACAGAAAAGGACAATGGCCACAGTTGGTGGTAAATGATGTTGATAAGCAGGCCGAAATATTAGGTCTATTAACTGATAGTACTGACGTGTGAAATTAAGTGTTTGTTATACATCTAATTATCTCTGTTCTTCAAGTAAAGTAAATACGCATCGAGTATTTAGAATAAGGATTATAGATAAACGTTTCCAATGTTTCAGAATACTTTCGGGAAGCTGCTTGCATGGCTGAGTTATATTCAGAACGCAGCAATCCCTCCGGCGCAAACGAGCGAACCTCCGCATCTACGACTTCACGTTTAAATTCCGCGGGCGGACCATGCAGAAAGCAGTATTCACGACTATTATACGTCGCTTTTGAGGCAGCCCGTATTCCGCGAAATAATACTTTAAAAGGAAAACTTACTCACGATATTCATGATAATATGTCTACTTTACAAAAACTTTGCTGGTAGGTTGTACAAGAACATTTGTATAGTGTGTTTAATAACCTCAAGCGATCGCCTTACCGGTGATATGATTTTACTCGATCCAAGCTTCATAAATGATGTATACCTGAGGTCGAAACAGATTTCACAGAATTGTGTGCGTTTTATTACCTTTACAGTTTTGGTGAATTTTGTATGTTTTTTTTCTTTCAGCGCATACTACGCTGTGTATGAATGTACCCAAGCCCACGCAAGTCGCTGCGGAGGACTCGGCAGGATGAAGTTCCCATTACGTCAAATTTATCAAGGTCTTGAACAACACTGTCGGACGTATAAGTCCACCTGCTTAATACACGTCAAGCATCCGCCGCCCCCGCATCGGTCTGGTGTGTATCCGCCGGGTTTTTCAAAGACACCCGCTTATGGCGGATCGTCCAGCGGCAAGAAGGTGAAGGCCAGGCCGCTTGGGCCAGCTGCAGGAAGTCCGACTTTGGCGACGACTCCCGCAATATCTCATTCCGGTATTGCGGTCGCCTCCGTAATGCTTAGCTTCGTCCAATTGATTCTCTTCAAATTCTGTCGATAGCCTTGCTCTCAATAGTTCTTCGCTCATTTTGAATTAGTTTGTTTTTTTATTATTGCCTATAAAATAAGATGATCTAAATATCTTAAATCTTAGCGAAGTCACAATAACGAATTACATCTTGCTGATCATAGCCTGTGCGACTGCCGGTCGCAGAACAGCGATACGTAATGGTATAATTTGATTATTAAGAACACTTTATACGACTGAATAATAATAAAAAGTTTTTAATTAAACCGGCAGACAATCTCGTCCATTACTTCTAGCGCTCCCACTGTCAGCAGAAATAGCTTCTAGTTTCCTATTAGCATTAGATCTATGAAAAAAAAAACTCGAATTCCGAGATAATTTTTGAAAATTAACAGTGATAGCTACAACAATAACAACAAGAAAAGCAACAGAGTTCAGTAGACAGTATCTGTCAACTTATCAGGGCTCGTGGATTACGGTCCACGACGAGGTTTCTGGGATAAAAGTGGTCTTCGCGCGCTCGCCTGGGAATGATGTGGGGAACATCATGTTACAGCACAAAGCAGGGGTGTTTAAGTGTGATTTATGACTCGTACACGATACAGGCAGACGATGCTCAAGACTGTACCGTTGAAGAGACGAAGGAAAATAACTACATAGAGGAATGCATGCTACGAGGAGACAGAAAGCAAAAATTCAAGCCATGCTTTAGCTATAGGATAATAGAAACAGACGGAGAGAAAGATAGAGCAAATGCGACTACATGCGCAAAAACACGCAGACACGCCATGCTCTATGCATAGCATCCCTCGTGTCTCTCCTGAGGCGCGCGGTGTTGCTAATGCAAATCTCGCCGGGAGACACGCCTTGACTCCTTACATGTTCTGCCATAGATCAAGCCAGTTTCCTTCCGGGAAGGGATATCTTATAGCATGAATCAGTGCGTCTATGTCCAGAGGCATCCGCCTCCTATGACATCTTTACCCTAAGAAAGAAGCACTATAAGTGACCTGACAAGCAAAGAACTGAGAGCAATACGCTTACAGCAGCGGTAAGAGCTCGTCATTAACCTATACAATGGAGATGTGTTTATACAATTCCATTTATTTCATATGTCTGATGAGTCGACTTGACTGTACATTTGGATAAGAAGAGGTATGTTTAAGGTTTATATCACACATGTGTGTTACAGTGGAATTGTGATAGTTAGGGCGTAAATCTTTTACCAAGAGAACAGATACTTTTAGGTGAGGACGTGAAACTATTGCTATAAACGATTTTGCAACTAGCTAAAGATCCAATCTTTCGCCCATTTATTACAAAAGCTGTAGCAATTCTGCTGCGGTCTATACACTTTTAGGTCCTTACGTAGTATAATTATTGTGCGTGTCCTTTTTTATCGTGACGAAAACGAATTATTAAGTAACATCTACACTTGAGTGCGTACCATAGACTCGATAGTGTAGCCAATATAATGTCGTGTGAATATTCCGAGAGACTAAGATAATGGTATTTCGAAAAGTATTCTATCCATTAAATCCAATCCGTGTCCAATAAAAAGCGCTGCTGCTGTTTTTCAGCGATGACTGCGATAGTGTCAAGTCTGTTATCATAGGCTTATTTGGTATGAATCAATGGTCCGGATCTAAGTATCTGCGCGAAGACCTTTCAGAATGGGAGCTTATAGGAACGTGACCAGACCGAACGCGCTTTCCCTGGGAGGCCAAATGACTCTGAAGCCGGGAAGCTGTGCGACACTCCAGACCAAGGGTCGGCCGAGAAAAAACTTTTCTATAAATACCTTAAAATAAAGGTAGTAGTAAAAAGTGAATTGGTTAAATCATCTCTAGCTTTGCCTTCCTATTTCGTACTCGGCTCTTATATCGGTTCGATATTAAAATTCGCAAGTAGCGCTAGCTAGGCCTAGTGGGATAGTTGTAGAACCATTTGGAAAAATCGTTTTAATAAATTTTACTTTAATATCGTTAGTTTCTTCATTCACGGAAGATATTTGAGTAACTTTCGAATTCTGGGAACTTCTTAACCGTAGCTTAAAGCCAAGGAACAGCAACATCGTCTTATAGTCTATAACGTATTCGTCATAATCAAGATATTTCGTTGTCGTGCTGGCAATTTACCTGTCGTCCCCGGAGCCTTCAGGCACTATGTAATTCTCTTAGAAAGTGATTCTTTATTAGAAATACAATTGCCTCTAATTAATGAAGTTCCGCCTTAGGAGACCGACATATCTTGCGACAGGTTTTACTGGTCGAAACAGTCGATTGCGTGAGTACGTCCGGCCATTACTAATTAATTATGAACTCCCCGTTACCCGATACTGTTTTTGTCGTCTGTTGAAAGAAACGAGACACCCCTTACTCTCGAACTCAATTGGAACAAGTAATTAGATAAATTGATTATTAATCATTGTTTATTAACGGATCTTCAAGCAGCATAAATTTATGATTAATAAGTAGATTTTTTCAATATTAAGTATTTGCCTATTCACATGAATAGCATGTATCGTTCAGCGGAAGCTATTTTGGTTATAACTGTGTAGTGGCCTTGCAAACTATATATGTGACGACGTAACTTTTCCAGCTTCCATAACCAGTCACTCAACTCTCAGGCTAAAACTTCTATTAATCAATTACTAATACAAACTATTTACAGTTAGCTCGAACGTGCCGGAGGCTGTGGCTCTAAGTACTATGCATCATTATGGTATTGATACGAGGCAGTTTCAAACGCTTTTGATTCTATAGTACAGAGTTGAAAGTAACCTAACGTCACTGAGGGTGTCGTTAGAGAAGGCTGCCAATCCATTCGCCTGACCCCTCCTTTTTCATTTATAGTGTAATTTTCCTGGAACTTGCTGAAAAAGCTGGCTTGAGATAATACGTTAAACTTACTATATGTTTGATGATGTAGTTGTCCGTTCAAGATATGGCGCATTCGTTACACGTAGTATTGTTCTACAGAGTGGCCATTGAAGCCCAGTAACTATAGGACCCGGAATATTGATCAGGTTGGCCATTTTCTGGATCCATATATATATGTAGTCCTATTTTCATAGTCTTTCTGAGCGCCGTCTGACGTAGTGCGTAATTAATGCGTTAATCCGCCCTCCAAGGTACGGCAGGTTTTGTCCTGTTTTTTTTAAATGATAGGACGAGCTAGCTTAATCCGGCAAGGGCAAAAGGCTCTTTTTCATGACGTTTTCGTTCTAGAAGAGCCCTCTATGAAACTATAAACCCTTAAAAATAGGCATTCTACGCTGCCGCTCATTTTTGCTGCTTCTAAGGAGACTTTTAACAAATAGACGCTGAAGCGGACAATCTATGATGGACTGAAGAAGTCACGAATTCATCCAAAATAATACAAACAACCATTTCTAATACAGCTGAGATTTGTATGCAGGAATTTCAGGTTATTCTAAGATAGTACTCCTATTGTCTTTGGGGTCACGACTATACAATCATGTACAACGATGGACAGTTTTTTGATTTCGTACTCCCTTTAGAATCTTTTGGATATGTACGATTATTGAGTTATTCGCGAAGTTACATAAGGAAGTTTGGAACATGTTTTGTGAGCTGTTGAATGAATGCAGTAATTAAAATAAATGGCAGATGTATTAAATAAAAGTTCATTTAAATATCAGTTTCCATAGTTTGGTGAGTACATGACTGACTGCCAATTGGCCCCGAACCCTTTGCCTTAGCGTATGATTCCTAGCGGTTCGTGCCATACCACTTAAAAAAAAGGAACGCACCTTTTAAAAAATCAAACAAGTATAATAGGTCTATTGTTTTTCTGTGCTCTAGAAATATTGAAAATGTTTTCGGGAGGGTTACCAGTGTTTAATGGGGAACGCAAGAAGTATGTCTCCCGTCGTAGATGAAAATGATATTAGTGACACAAATTTAATGCATTCCAACATGTGCAACCATCTACCTAGAAGACGTGAGGTTACTTAGCCGATCCGAAACGGTTTACTGACTAACCTCCCGAACTTACCGCTTCAACTTCAGCATTCGCTGCTTGCTGGTAGTTGTTTGCCACTACCAGCCTCTGTCGAGCAGTCAAGAGATGAGAAGTTCACAAAACTATTATGATAACGGCCAACGTGTGGGTTTGTACTTAGGCGCGCTTGTGCGTATATGTACAGATGGAAAAAGTGCATCTGGGAGACACCCCTGAACGATGTGAACGAATGTTGGCCGCAAAGTGAAAAAGACAAGTCATTTATAGTGATCTATTAATAACTGACTAAACAGAGTGCACGTCTGGTTGGAGGTAAAACGCGATCGATCGGCTTGACAGAGGAGTAACCCGTACTCCATAATTGGCGATTGATGCACCGTTTGCGAAACGATGGAAAGAACCAAGCAGCGAACACGGAAGCATTTGCTAGCCATGTACAATATTGTCGCAAACAATTACCCCTTTGTTTTTTCAAGCCCTCCCTTTCCTCTCGGCTTCTATACCTGCGCTTAGCCTCACAGTCGTTCCCAAGTGCACACCAAGTAAAATTCAGCATAGCGTTTTACTAGCATGATATTTTTCTTCATTTACGTATATGAGAAGTGCGCAGTTATAAAGAAACCCATTCTCATAAAATGCACGTACGGCTACAGCAACTGCAGTAGCGTATGGCACCTTATCCGATGGGTACCACGCGTTTCACAGCCGTATACGGTAGGTTACTATTGACTGAAGTCCGATGCTTGATGTTCAACAAGTTACAAGCAAGTTGAAGCAATGCCGTCCAAGTTGACAAGATAGATTTTAAGTTAGTGGCGATGATCGTAGCTAATGAACCTCACTGTCCAAGCCATTGGGTTAGTAGCCCCTCTGTATTCTACTGCTGCCCCTAATGGTGTCGGCGTTCCCGTTATACCTTCGGTATGCACCCTCTTTTATAGTGGTGAACAATGACAAACTCCACTGATATTCGGGTGACCAGTGGCCAAAAGCATCGTCATTTACTATTGCACGCGCTATACATATGTGTATAGAGGAATTTACGTTGCTGCGTTTGCCGAACCTCACGAGAACGCTGCGATTTGGACCATCTGCGACTCCTGGAAGAGACGAAGACGAGGGAAGCATCAACAGGTTTGATCTGGGCTTCGCGCCAGCGATCGCTAGGGCTTACTATAGCTGCTGCTGCCGCCTCAGATGAAATGGATAGGCAGTACTTAGCTATTGCAACGAATCAGTCGTAATGCTGACCGAACTTTCAGCTTATTAGCGTGGCATATACGTAATTGTATATGTTGGATACTGTTGGCTGCTAAAGGGAAGCAGTTGGCGTAGTTTCGTATGTTTAATGTGGGTTGGAAGAGGCCTTTATAATAAAGATCAAATGCATACATTTACGAACAGGTGATTGCTCTTATTGGAGATGCTTTGATGACCAGTATTCGGATAGCTTTACTACGTCACGGGCCTGTCTGTCCTAAGGGAAGATTATATAGGAAGATTATACTTGTTTGCTCTTCGAGGCAGGTCATAATTCACAGCTTCGTGTCAGTTACAAATCGTTCGTTGTGGACACTACAGCTATCATCGATTTACAGCCCATCATCAGCTATAGCGCTTGTACGGCTTCTGTTTGGCCCCATAAAAGTCACTGGAGGTCTTCGCGTTCTAGCAAGCACCCTGAATCGCCAATAAATCTCTCCAGTGTGAGCTAGCGAAAATTGGTAAGTTTTACATAACGTTCCAACAGCCTGGCTAAACGTAAAGCCCTCACTATCTTTCGAGTCTCACGTCAGCTATTGCCAGCAGACATACCTATCGGACGCTTGGCTTCCAGCGTGAAACGAAGTGTGTTCCTGCCTGAGTTCGAGCCTAGATGATAACGTGTCCCTAAAATTAGCAGGAAAATACGTTGCCTATTAGACTATCACAGGGACTAGTCGTAAAGTCCTGGGAGCAAGCTCTGAGTGTTCCCGAGAATGTGCCCTGTGGCTGAATAAAATTAGAATATATGCCCGCACCTCAGCCTAGCGTATCTTTGTTTGAAGATCGGCCAGTGACCTGATACAGTCTATAGCAATAACTGAGTAAAGTCGTTGATACTACTGTATCTAGGATATAACGCAACGGATAATGTCGTTGTGATTCTACAAGATGGCTGTTTTGTTTCCTGTCAAAAAAAAAACAGTCGATAACGGTTTGACACCAATGTAAATAAATTCTTTCGTCAGACAGAGCAGCAAGCCCGAGCTGTGATCGTAGTACTTGCTTTGACGGCTTGTAGATGAAGCCAGAGCAATGATACAGCGACAGGCTATTGGCTATATAGAGGGTGTTAAATGCCTATATGCCGAAAGGATTGACAGCATTTGGAAACATTGGAAGTATAATATCGGTCCGTTATTGTAAATTCGGGGCACACTATACCGCAAGCGATTTATACAAAGCAGGACGCCTATGGTGGATGACTCAGTACCAAACTGCTAGCAAAGACAAGTGAAGTCACGGAAGGAGAATAGTACAGGAGCTGTAAAATTATAGCTAAACGGAATTCAACGATATACGATGGATATGACTTTTTTATTACCCTTACTGATCATAAGAATTACCGCTGAATTTTGTTGCTAATTTTAGCTAATTCATGAAATTTTTGTTCTATCCATCTAGAGCCAGCGGAGCGTACGTAAAATATTTAATTGAGAAACAACGCTGGTCTCTTACAATCACGATTATATGTTTTCGGATTCCAGAGACCGACAAAGTACTGCTCTAAATGTTGCTTTCGAGTCCCTAAAGATGAAAAGCATCTGAGCTAAGCTCGAGACAGTCGACGGCAAAAACGGCGTTGGCCGCTATTGCCGCTGTAGGAACCAGACGTATGTTTTGTGGGGGAGTGTCTATAGAGGAGAAATAATTTGATTTTTGAGCGGGAAGGTATGCACATCAAGCGTCTGCTCCGGAGAACCCTAAGTTACATCCTGTGTGCGCAAGTTTGCGTGCGGCTGTTTTCAAGGCTTGCGTTGTAACATCGTCTATGTTAGGACAAAGGGGCCTGCAACAGCTACGATAGCCGTAAGAGGAGGAGGAGGAGGAGGAGGAGGGTGAAGTTCCTACGGAACATGGATGTAACGTTCGACGATGGTAAAGAAACTGTGGCCACGGTTGTACTAAGTAATGGCTAAGAATACAATCGTTTTTATTTAAAGAGTTCTTTGACTCTCTATAGACACAAATTTTCAGTGTGAAGAGTCTGACGTGATGAGGCAGTTCACCCGATACGCAGCGTCCACAAGCCGTTTACATGCATCTACTAACATCTAAAGGATAGGATATTACGTCATCACGGTTGATCATGCAGAAGGCGCGCGAACCGTTAGAAGGTAGACTGTTGTGCAGTGTGACAGACTTCTTTGATGCGATGACTGAATCCCAGCGCTGAGTGCATAACGAGGTAATACTCTCTGGTATTTCTTCGGTCAGTTTGTCTTCGACAGAAGCTAGCAGAAGCTAGTGATTGTAAAAGTGTTAAGACCATCCGATGAAGAGGATTCGTTCGAAAAAGGCCGAACAATAAACGCGACCGACCGAACGGACAGCTGCTGTGATATTTGCTACATCGATGTGGCAAGCCATACGGGCGCGGCTTTGGTAGCTAATGACAGATAGCGGCAGCGCTGGTTAATAACAGGATCGGAGTCAGAGCTCGTGCAATACGCGCGCTAACCTAAAATATGTTAAGTTTGTAGTATGTTGCTGTTTATGTACAGTTATGCTAGACTGCTCATAATAGTAATAATAATAATATTGGTTTCTTATGTGTCGATCGTTTATACAGTGAAAATTTTACCCTATATTATCGTTATTGGCTCTTGACGAAAAACCATTCTGTTTTTATGAATCTCGCTGATGCGTTAGGTCTGCTTCAGGCCATGAGATTAATTTTGATAATAATAAAATTATATTTGTTATATTCACAAGCTACTAGCGCGTTTCTGCGTATGGTTATAATATTCTAAAGCATTAAGTATATCACTTGAGAATAAAAATCGAACGGCTGTGGGCGGCTGCTTTAGGGAAGACAGGAATTACCACCTTCCAGATGAACAGATCGCCTGACATAACTGTGAGCTACGGTCGATTAGCTAATAACCAACACTACCCGCACGAACACCATGAAACAAGCGATATGGGGGCGTTGGAAGAAGCCATGGTTCTTATCTCCAAGGGTCTTTTGTCTAAATTCCGTATAACTTCTGCAATACGAAGCGCACGGCAAATATATTCCGGTCGAGCTTCTGATGGAAATGGTTGATTACTCTTGTTATTGTTATTATATACTACCTACTAGCATTACTACGCATGAGCAATTTTTTACTCAGACTATATGCTTTTCCGCAATATCATTCGCACAGGTATACTGCACCGGTTCGAGTTCTATCATGACTTTCAACGTCCTATTGCTTCATTCGGACTGCTTTTTGATCCACCAAATAAAGGAAGCCTAAGTAGGAACTGGTTCAAGTGACACTTTGTTGTGGCCTTCTTCTCTATATAGAGATAAATTTAGCATCTATTACCGATTTGTCTAGATTATGTAGCCTGTGCACGCTGTTTTTTTTTCCATTTAATATCCATTAAAAGGTCTCACTTTTGTTGGATTGACCAGTTGGAGGTTACCTTTACGCTTAATTCAAACGTCAGGCTTTTAATGTTATTGTCTTAGGCCTCCAATTAACTGCGGTTGTCTGTTCGTGTAGTACGATGGAGCACTAAAAGGAATCCTTCAGTACAATAAGTTCTAATACGTTACTTGCTTTAGATACTTAATCCTTAGACATACAAGAGCAACGTAAATGTCTACTAATTACCACAGCATAAAGGAATGGGTTCGACGTTTTACTAGGACGCTGTTACTGAATTAGTTTTCGCTGAAGGCGAATCCTTTCCATGTCTTTACTCCATGTTTCCATTTACTAGTATTTACACGTAAAAAGCTTAAGAGAGCCTGAGCTTCCCTTCAGCCTTAAAATAATAGATGTTATAATTAATGCTAGTAGCAGCATATCCTTCTTCGCACGAATTGTTCAGTAATTATGTATCCCTAATGAAACCCCGGTCTCTTTAAACCGGAAGCTTGGCCATCTAAGCCACCGACATAAAAAGTCATTGCATATAGCACAGATCAGGTTATCTTTGATTGGAGTTTACCTTTCGGCAACACCTGTCTTGCTAAACGTTTACCGCAAGTGGTCAACTAAAATGCGTTGGGTAGCTAGGGTTAAATATAACGCTCAAAAAATATGTGTATATATATAAACTCTGCGATATGGCTGTCTTACAATGAATTGACTGCGGTAAAATATCCTAAGGAACTGGACGCACAACTCTGCCCTAGTCGTTTACGCCAATGGCTATAGCCGATGTTGGAGGGCACTGTTTGTATAGCACACATTATTGTATGAAGCAAAGAATGAAAAAACCTTAGACCGCTTTTTACCGGATAGGTGTCAATTATTTAGAAGTTTTGCTAGTTGCAACTGCCCCACCTAACATTTTTACCCAAGTCTAAAAACGAATTAAACCCTATGTCAATGATCATTATGGCAATAAGTAATGTTGGTGTCAGTTGAGAACTCGAACTGAACCTTATCAAAGATCTGGGGTTTATAGCGCCTCTATTAAGTTTGCTTGTTCATGTTTCTGACAGGATATTGAAAAATCTACATAAAAAAAAGTAAACACATGCAATCAAATGGAATATCTTTAGCACGTATACTGCACAAGCTGTATGAATAATTAAGCCCTGTACTTATTTGTCGCCTAAGTACTGCATGCATGCTTTTGTCGTCTTGGAATCAAAATGTACGTTTCATTTGCGATCTGTCTTGAGATACACAAGCCAGAAGAAGTAGCATACGCTTCTTCGGCTCACATCTCGATTTGTGGATTCAATAAGATAAACACAAATTGAGATCTGCCATACTGTTTTGGGCTTTCTTCGAGGGGCAACCTAGGGACGGATACGCGGGTTGTAGTTAATGGAGGCTGTTTTGTTTTATCACACTCACGAATATGCTAGCAACTCATACGGGATGTAAGTAACACTTTGCTTTTCCGTCAGCCGTATTTTGGATACGACTTCTTCCATAAAACCCCGCCAAATGCAAATCAGTACGAGAAAATTTACAATAAATATTCTTTTGGCTCTGTTTCTGCACTGATGATTCTTTGCTGATTTTTTTGAAGTTGGATCGCCGCTGATCAGTCGCGATTTGCTTATTCTAGAAAAGCGTTCGAACGTCTAATTCTCTGAAGAGTTTCATGAGCGACAAATTGTAACAAATACATGACGACGTATAGTCACAATCAATACCATTAGATACACACAGCTTGCTTATGCCTGTAATTGTTATTGTATCCTCGTCGTTTTTACTATTAATACTGTCCTGTCGTCGTTCACCGTTATGGGGTACCGTTGTGGGGCGACTGCGACCTCTATCGCTTGTGCGCTCTAGTTGGCTCCTCGACGCAGGCGGCTGATAGTGGTGGCCACATTAACGGCGGTGTGCAGATTCTTATTGCCGTTCAGCTATTATGGATGTCCACCATCTTCATTGAAGAACTGCTAGGGTTCATTTCGCGGGTTGGACAACCTATTGCCAAAACTCCCTGCTGCTCTAAATGAACGAAACCAGGTGAAAAGCCAAGCACTAGTTATTTGATATGCCTTATCTGGGCGTGATGTACTTAAGCCAAATACAAAGCGTTGAGTAGAATTGATTTTGCTTAATCATTGGGTATCAATGCATCACTCTTCACCCTCGGCTATATCAGCTATCACTCTAGAAGATACGCTAGAAAACGGCCTAAGCCTCTAGGCAGTCGTAAGAACGTTGTTATGAGTCATAGGGCCATCGTCAATGATTTGCATGCTTTCAACTCGGTTATTATTACTACTAGTATTATAATTGTTATTGCCGTTATAGACGGTTGCTTCATTTGCCGTGTTTGTTTGCGCTGTACTTTTTTTCTCAAATAACGCTGCGGTCTATCACCTCGACTAGCCCTAGACACAGTAGGGGTACTCATTCACCTATATTCTACCACATAATTAACTGTCTCTGATTGATACTGCATCGCGTGCATACGAATTGCCTCGTATATATAGCATCGCCATGTGTTGCGGTATCGATAGTGAGCTCCCGTCTTGTCACTGCTCGAAACAGACACTGTCCTTATAGTCAGGCCTGCGTTTTCACTAGCAGTTGTTTTTTCTTCTTTGTGTTATATAGTCACCTTTGTTACTTGTCATTCAATAGCCACGTCTTTAGACGTAGGTCCCCGTCAGCCGATTCACTTCTAATGGTCTCGATCATTGTGACCTTGATCCTAGACATTGTATTCGCGTAGGCGTCTGTGTGACACTGTACACATTCTGCCACAGAGGGTAACTTTGTTTTAAGCCACCCATTTAACGAACGTGTTCAACTCAAGTTCATTGTTTAGGAATTTTAACGAAAAATTCTTAATACCCTGATATTCCGTATTCCTCGCTATATTCATTATCTTACTTATCTGATCAAAAACAGATGGCGGTGTAAGAGGTGCTGCTAAAGATGTCCTCGTTGATCTATAATAATAGCGATACACAGTGTACACGATGTGTGGTGTAAACACTAAACTGCTACTATTTTTCTCTTAGTTATCGTAATTCGTTGCTGTGGATCAGCCGGCCAAATGCACGCTGATATCCTGATATCAGCCTTATAGTACTTAGAACAAGTCCTATGCAAATAAGACATTGCCTGATCACAGCCGAGCAAGCATCTCGTTACAGTATAACATAGCCTGGACTCAGGCCATTTTACGCAGTTCGTCGAACATTTCAAAGACAAGCGCATCCTATAAGTTAAGCTGTGAGCAGAAGGTCCCTCTGGCTGTAGTAGCCGTTGACCATCCCTGCACCAGAGAACAGTTAACTCGGTCGTCGTACAAACACAGTATGTACGTACATGCAGTCGTGTACCTCGTTCCAATAGAGATCTTAAGATCATTCTACATTTCATTGTGTACCCTTTGACTATGCGGTCTTTTAGACAAATGCTTATTTATTTCACACTCTGTTGATGGAAAATTACCTGTTAGTACTTTCGGTTACATCTACATAGCCCGCGGCACGAACGTACCAGTTGTTCTCGAGTAGGATACTTCGCGTTGTCCATGAGTTTATTTTCCTATTGACGACACATTCGGACGCACATTTCTCTACAAACAATATATACATAATCAAAGAGCAAACAAGAAGAAGGAAAACACTTTTCCTTATTAGTACACTTATCTAAAAATTGTTATTGTATGTAGTCTATGCGAAAAACTTGAAAGCTCATTTTAGGCTTGAAATACATTTTTAAATTAGGTATTTTCAGTACCTTCTGATAACTGTCTGTCGACAAGACAATGTTACGGACGACTCACGCAACGTTTTTTTATCTATGAACTTACCACAGTTGTATATACAACTCAAAAGCCCGGAGCTTTCCAATGTTATACCTTGTGCATATGTACAAGGAAGGGTAAAGGCAAAGTTACTCGAGTCGCATCACGTATAATTTGGTGAGCTCTTACAGAGCTTCTCCTGGCCCTTGAAACGGGCCTCTAGAAATTGGTTCCGAGTGACAGTTGCTCCATAAACCCATGTAACTTGATATAACTTTGAACGTGGCTTGAATCTAGACGGGGCTTCAGGCTCGTGTGTTACTCCGTTTAAACAAGATGCACCTATAGGGGATGGTAAATGCAGGTTAATGTTTAAGCTGCTCTCTTCGTTTTGAGTTATGTCCGGTATCGCCGTTAGGCATCAGACGGCTGATCAAGTGTGTCTATGTTCAATTCGGTCTTAGACCGCAACTTGTCCTTAAGATTAGCAGGCAAACACGTTAGTCACTAAGCTATCATGGGGACACGGATGTCCCTCTCCTATTTCGTTTCTTGCTGGGAGCCAGCCGTCTGATAGGATGCGGCATACCGGAGGTAGAACGGGAAACCTCTTTTGATCTGGAACTGCTAAATCTAGAAAGCATGAGCTCTGTAATGCTTTCGATTTGATGCCTCCATATATATATATATATATATATATATATATATATATATATATATATATATATATATACGTTTAGCAAAATACAGAAACTGGTGTGCCCCACGCTTACTCGGCCAGCTCATACTTTGTGTACCTTAAATGTTTTGAGATCTTGACTAGTTATGTATTCTACTAATCTTTCAATGGGTTACTGATCCAGTCAGTCTTAACGGTGCCGAAATGGGCTGAGCTAAGTAGCTCAGCAAGAACTTAATTTAGAGCGGGTCATCTCACTTAACACTATTGATTATGTGTGCCTCTAATTTGATTTATCTTCTCGGTTCCGTAGAGTTGAATTGATCTTCAATCAATGCGTAAAAGCATAACGAAATCGAGTTCCGGGAAATATGTTTAGCAAACCTAGAAACTGGCAAGCAATTTTATTTTCCGGAAATGTTTGATAGAAGCTATATATAGAGTTTTCATCGTAGAAGCTTGCAACTTCGAGCTGTAAAAATAGTTCAATTGCGTTGATAAATAAACATACATTCTACATCGTGTCTATTAGTAGTCGATGATTCAATGATAACCTGATTCTTTCCGTATATCGTACTATATGCACTGGCTCCCATATATGAAGAATGAGGATCTGATTGTTGCAAGTAGTCTTTGTGTTAATGTGATGTTGTGCTTTTGTTAAAATTTACTTAAAGTGAGTGAATTTCGAGGAGGGATACAAGGCTAATGTGCGCATCTTCAAATTCATTATGCATACGCCCAACGAACGACGGAACAAAGTACAAACACCGAATCTCGTCAATATACATACGTTGTTGAAGTTCACAAGCACCCGAGGTCACGGGTCATCAGTGAGTACGTACGCATCGCATCCTTTTTATACCCCCGTTTTTCGGCCGAAAACGTATGTCTGCTTGCCTGATGCCACTCTAAGCCGTCGTGCGTCCTTTGTGACGCAATTTTGCACTAGCGACCTCGTTTTTTTCAAGGGAAGAAACGCTCGTTCCACATATGTTGACTTTCTTGGTAACCTTGATAGTTACTAAGGCTTGATTTTAAATAAAAATAAGAAAAAAATTGCTTATTGCAATTATTCTTGTGTAAACAGTTCATATTACGAAACAGAAGCAACAAATAAATTTCTACCACGCGCGATTGCAGAGTTTTGAATGTTGTGATCGCAGCGAACGTCCCATAGCATTAGGTTGACTAAGGTAAGCCATGAAAGACGTGCAGGCGCTTCATCCCCTGAAAGAACCAACATCAGTTAAGTTGGTCAATCACTGTTGCAGCTTCTGAGTACTTTTATCGCCCTAATTTTCCCACGTGCTATTATGACTACTGAAAATGAAAAAGCCCACAATCCGAATTGTCGTAGCCGAGTAACGGAGTATACACGATGTAATAAACTAAGTTCTGTGTTGGAGGTAGGTTAGGTTGCAATATTAAGAACAACGAGACAAAATAACAACGAAGAGAACAGGATACCGAGAATAAGTATAAAGAAATCTATTTACAGCAGCATTCAAGGGAGTACGGAGCAAAAGGCTATATTACTTTGTGTAGTAGTAGAAGAATACTTAATGAAACAAACATTCTAAGTAAGAAAGAAGTAAGAACTTTATCATTGTTGTCTGTTTTATTTCGCTTTTGGTCTATTTATCTAGAACAGATTGCGTTCCTCTGACACCTGCGATAGTATACAGCATGTGACAAGACTTGTCGTTCGACTAGATACTTCTACACGACGTTGCTTCGTGCGGTTGATGTCTCGTGTTCTCTGTGGATTCTCCTTACTCTCTCGGAGCATCGGCCACTACTCTGGCTACAGACAAAAATACATAATGACCGATAGCCTCGTATCACACAGGGTGGCGAACCGTCATCTTCGGTTCTTTTCCCTTAAAATAGCGTGAGAAGCAGTGGCGGAGGTGGTGTGGCATTATTGTGTTCTTTAACTATACTCTTATTATGGCTGATATTTTCTAACTGCAATTTATGGCAAGGGTTTTATGAAAAATGTTTAGGTTCTTGTCGCCTGCTTTCATTTCTGCTTAAATACGGTATCTTGCTTTGTTAGAACGCTTGCTAAGTGACCTGTCGAGGTAAGCAGTCGGGATGCAGCTGTCTACCTAAGAGAAGAATATTTGGATAGGATCGACCTAGAGTAAAGAACTAGAGTATTTTTGGCGTTAGTAGTTATGGGTCATAGAGCAGGCACTCGATCTCGATTGTCGTATCCAAACGTGTAATTCCACTGGATCACTTCTATTTTTGTACTAATAAGATAACAGATAAGGGCATTTTTGTATGATATAGATTTTCGCAGAACGACCTGTTGTCAGGGCAATAAACGTAACACAATTACTAAGCCAAATTTACATTTGTCAAGTGAGCCAAGACTTCGGTTCACCCTGAAATATGTTGTCAATCTTGAGTTTTGAGCTTATGAATCATCGCTAAGTTTGATGTTTAAAGTGAAAACACCTTAAAGTGCTCAATAGAACTTCTGTAATATATAAGTACTATGAACTTACTGCCATTCTCGCAATAGCAACATCGATATGCAAAACTTGATTTGAACTGAGTGGTGTACAGCATGAGTGCTACTAATTCTAACAGAAATATCGAAAACAATGTCTATCTTAACTCTTTTTATCCAGTAAGTTTGATCGCTTTACTTTGATAATACATAGCTGTTCTTGTAAAGCGGGCCGCCTGACGTATTACTACGTCGATAAAGCTCAATGATACACGGCTTACTCTGCGACTCGGTTGAATATTGCCACCGCTGTAAACATCCATTGTTGACGGAGCGTCGCTGCAGGTAACCTGCTCTTGTGAGGAGTGACATTGTTATATCATTATTAGTATTTTAGCAGTTTGTAGGCAAAAGGCTGATTTATACAATCGTGAAAATACTTGACTCTGACATTGCGTTACAGGTTTCGATATAAGAGGCGGCTTTGGTAAGGCCCCCTCTTATAGAAAAGCGGGGTTTGTTTCGAATAATTATTGGGACGGAGAGGTATCGTCAATTGCTCAATATAGCAACTAGCAAAACGTCCCATTTTTACCTAAACACATCGAGGCTCTTCGACTTAATGATGCTCTAAGTAAACATATGCTGCCATTCTTTTTTCGCTATTATCTAGCGTAATTACTTGCTCTGGCCGAGTCTAAAGTTTGAAGCCAAAAGTGCCGCAATTGTTCCATTAGCCCGTAGCGATGGCAGGCTGCAGCTGTCCTTGTGATTTCATTGCGTATTTTTTTACTTCTCATCAACGGAGCTCATCCATTATTGGAGTTATTCTGTTACGCGATCTTATTTTAGCAGATCAGTCATACTCATTCCTTGCATAGGTACGTCGCATCGATTGTTCCGTTGCCTTAATGCATGTTCTACTATGCTGTTACTCTGACACAGGTCTTCCAGAGGTTTGCCTTAATTATTCAATCGGTTACTAGGTCGGCACCATGCTACTGTTATCTCCTTATATTGTTCTTTTATTTTAAGGTCCCCAGATTCGTATTAATAATAGGCAGCCCAAGAACGAAACGAAGTAAGCAATGTGGGAACAACAATATTTTTGAGAAACACTCGGTCTTTACGGGAAGCCAATTACAGACAATGTCTTCGCGGAAGAATAGAAAAAAATTTACTTTTTTAAAAAATCTCTTTATGTGGCTGGCTGCTATGTGAGGCTATAGAACTTACACATATATGCATTTCATAAACTGTCAGCTAACGTTAACAATCCTCCGCGAACGTTTCAAGATTTCCCCAGACCACATTAGGATCCACGGGAGAGCTTTTTCCCTAATATTTTCAGCATAGAAAGACGCTTCGTATGATTTGTTTTACTGTAAAGCTTTCCATATGGTCCGAACACATTTAACGTACCGGTATAGCGCATATCCTACGCTAAATATGTGAGACTTCAATTACATCTTTAACAGGGCCGAGAGACGTACAACAAAATGGCTTAGTCAAACTAAAGTAAATATCGTTTTCCTAATTTTTTTCTTCGAGTCTCACCTACGTCCTAAATTGTGCCTCCTGGCTATTATAAAACATCGGCATTTAAGACGCTTTGTAGGTTATATTCACATCATCATCACATTCAGTGTCTCCGGTCGATAAACTCGTTGGACAGATGTTAAAAGGCGAAAGAAGGAAATAATTTTTTGATATTTTTTTTGAAAATGATCCCTTGTATTGAAAACAACAATTGAGTTAATAGTCAATATTTATAGGAACGAATGTCGACTATAACAACCCTATTCTAAAAAGGTCACGTTCTCGATCTGTGCAGGCGTCTTTTTGCATTTAGCGTAACTGCTCCACGTTGGGTCACAAGTACCGCTGTGGAACTCACGCATGTAATCCACTCCGTTATCTTTCTATTTTTATAATTTATTCACTAGGCCTAAAAGGTGTCAACTCATAATAAGTGATGCTACCTCAAATACTTCAGTATGAGGATCTTCACGTTAACCCTACCCCTGTCAAAGATTTGAACCAATCATTGTGCTATCCATTCATCCTTTTCTTGAGCATATTTTTTTGCCATGAAACGATTGAAGATGAGCCTGTGTCTTCGGTACCGCACAGTATGGAGTCCTTCTTGCCTGTCACCAAAAAAACAGTTCCCGCCGTTTTCGAACGGAATTCAAAAAACGCGTACCGGGTACTGTTTTTTTAAAGCTGTCACATTCAGGCTGTCATTAGAGTAAAATGATCACTTGTCCAGTCTGTTTGTGCTGGGTGGATTCGACCTATAGACCTTCATCCCACTCGGCTCTTGCACGCCCATTAATTCCATACCCAGAGCCAAGATCGATAGGCCTGACTGGGCCAACTGTGGCACAGGGGCAGAAGCGCAACTGGAGACTTTTTACTATCACATCCCCTCGTTTTTGAAACTTTTTCTGCTGGCAGGTGGGTTTACGGTATTTGAGCGAACACCAAGCATTATCGAATATTTCCGCGTTGGACCAACCCTCGCTAAATTTGAAAACTACTTCTTTGCCCGACGAAACGGACGCCTTGCATTGTTCTCACGTCTTATGCGGCTTCTGAATCCGAGGAAGATTTTCATAAGATAAACTGGCAAATAACATTTAAATTAAGAAGTCTCGAAGACTGGTCAAATTGGCACGAAGGGCCATCTTCGATACATCTAGGTTTTTGGAAGAAGAAGTCAATGAACATTTTTAAGTGGAAAATATGAATTGCCAAGAAAGTCGTTGAGGTAAGGCTTGCCGGTTTTTGCTGATAGGTGCTATTTATATAAACAACCTGGCTAGGAAGAAAGAAAAACTAGAAAAAAATGCTTGGTGGCATAAATAGCATGAATGTTCTTCGTGAACCTATATTAGTTATTAATACCCATGAGCAGAGAATCGCTACTGATTTCTTGCTTTATCTCTATTTGCTCATAGCTCACCATATCTGGACCTTAATGTTTGTCTCAACAAACTAGATGACGGATGAGGCAAATCGATATTTTTCCCTAATTGACTCTCAACTCTGTCTCCTTCAACAGACTGCTGTTAGCGCGTCTGCCAGGCTAAGGCGCTCAATACCAGAAATCTGAAGGAACCGAGCAGGAGAAAGGATTATGAGTATATTTATTAGTGCTCTTCTTTTTCCCTAATGTGTCTATGCTTAGATCACCTCTATATCCCTTTAACCAGTAGAAAAGTACTTCACATTTGCGCCGTGATGGAAATAGGCACCATGGAAATCCGTGATGGAAATCAATGGCAGCCGGCTGAAAAGGTCGACTCTGTCGCGCAAGATAAGAATACGGCATTTTACTTTCACTTGTAAAATTTCGATTGTCAATGTATTAGTCAGCCAAGCACTGCTCAGACACGTGCACTTCCTTTACAGCACTGACTGGAATCAAACATACGTTGTACCTGATCTAAGTACGTATTTGTTTTCGCTGCGTGCTAGATCCGTCGTATGTGACAGTCATATGATTTTTGATTGGTCTCAGCTACTTTGAATGGATGCAGCCAACTAATTGAATAACCAACAATATTAAAGAATGTTAAATAACCAACAAATTGAAGTTAAATTTTGGAGACGCATGATGATCGTTCGTCTAACCAAATTGTCCTATTTTATTGCTGCCATCGTAGTTCTGAAATCT